ATTACATATCATATCAATACATTTTTATTAAAGCACGGGAAATGATTCAGATGGTTTACGCTCCTTCATAACTAATTTAAGTGTGTTGTGCTTATCTATTTTCATTTATGGATTATTTATTTATTAATTGTACGCATTTGTCTTCGTATGATATGCAATTGCTTAAGATACTAAATTTAAGAATAATGTGATTGACTAATTATAATTTTCTTAAATAGTATCTTGCTTTAAATAATGTCAAGGAAAAGAGAAAAAAATATATAATTCGTAAGAATAAACATTTTGATGAAAATGTCACAGTAGAGGACGCACAACCATTTGAAAATTCTTTCATAACCAATTATTTCTTTTATATAGTAGATCAAGCAATTAGATCACTTGAACGGAAGTTCGATTAATTCAATTCATATGAAAAAAATTTGAATTTCTATTTTCTTTTGACAAGCTAAAGCATTGGATTATGCTGATTTGAAAGCATGTTGTGATCATCTTGATATTGTTCAAAGACGTGTAATTTTTTGCGATCTTGATGACAAATAATTGCTTCAAGAGTTAAACATTTTGCGAAATCTTTTACCAAAAGAAACAAAGACAGTTTTTGGTATATTAAATTATTTGAAATACCCAAAAAAAAAAAACAAAGACAACTTTTGATATATTGACTTATTTGAAAAGATTGGATCGTTTTTCGAATACATTTATTTCTTATAGAATATTACTGAAAATTAATGTTATTGTTGCATCTGCCGAAAGAAATTTTTCAAATTTGTAATTATTAAAATCTTATTTACAATCAACCACGTTATAAGAACGACTGAATGACTTAACTTTGATATCTATTGAACAAGATTTTCTAGAAATGAAAGTTTAATTAGTTACTTTGCTTCTAGAAATGCGAGAAGAAATATTTTACATGATTCGTTGTATTTCAAAGTTTAAACGTGGTATTTGATGTTCTGATTTCAAGGTTTTCTCATATGGAATTGCACGAAAAGTTTAGGGGCTTGGATAGTTATTTGTTGATGACATGAATTTTGATGAAATTTGGGAGGTGCTTTTGAACATTATTTGTACTTTTCTTATTCACAACATTTAAAAAATATACAATATTTAAATATCATAATTTTACGATGATATATATATTTTTAATTTCATGAAAGTGACACCATTTTAAAATGTAGCATAGGGCATCCAAAATTTAGGGTCGGCCCTGACTATAAACATGCTTATGGCTTAAACATATTTAGCGCCAGAATTCCAATCGTTAAAAAGCAGAATTTCAACCGTTGGACCAGTGTTCAAGCCGCAATGTTTGACCAAGTGTGAGTGATGTGGGGCCCGCCTGCCATAGTTAACGGTCAAAAAATTACAATCCTGAAGGAGGAAAATCAATACCAGACACAGCCTTAGTAAATCTTGAAACCCGTGATTAAGAATTGTTTGCTAACGAAATATTGGTGTTTTTAAGGGAGGTAATACATTACTATTCATTATTTGTAACTATATGTGGCACATTTTGTTGAAATTTGAAAATAAAAATAAAAACATAGTACTTACCTGGGAGAGAGACGACCAAATTTGTATTTACTCTAACGTCCATTT